TGCGGCTATGCCAGAAAGATATGAGGTTCCCTGCTTGGGGGTCTTTAGCTTCCAGGGCCTCCCGACACATGGACGAAGAACGGATTCTGCGGGGACTTAGTCTTGTTGACGCACCAGAGAAATTTGATCTACTTGACGTCCTAGGCTGGTCTCTAGGAGACTTTCAGTAATTAGTTGTACCCCAGTAGCATTCCAAAAGAGGTAGTATGGTCTTCAATATCGAGCATGCTTATACTTTATAAGGAAAACGTAATCTCCCTGCGCTCAGTTCCCAACCACCGATGAGACCCTAAACCCCAAACCCTCAACCCAGCTCTGCTGGGACTGAGGAACGTGCTGTGCCTGCTTGGAGCGACGCGCGTGCCCAATCCCTAAACCCCTAAAACTACGGTAGGGGGTTAGATAATTACCAATATTATGAGCCTAGATTCCTTGCATCCTTGTGGTAGAATGTAGGCTTAGGGTTCAAACATTTACGGTTTGGGGTTTTGGGTTTGGGTACTTCACATAGACCTCAAAACGAAATTGTTGCTTATTTAGGTCCTTACATACCTTTCGGTAACACCCATATACACCCAGCTTTCAGTTCATGTTCCATTCCTTTAGGGTTCAGGGTTTTTCAATTTGATCCCGCATTCTTGGGGAACTGTCCCCCCGTATCCCTGTGTAAGCCCAAAACCTGAAATCCTCACCTGCATCTCCAATCCCTATGTAGGCCCTTATATTTCGTTGAGACCCATTTTGGCCTAAACCCCCAACCCCAAATGCCCCGTTGGATTGTTGCCAGGTTTCCGAGGTGAACGAAGATGGAGATTTGCAGGTGGTTTCTCAGCTTTTCGGGTTTAGGGGTTAGGATTTAGGCAGGGTCTAGGGTTTGGGTTTTTAGCTTCAGGGCCTAAGGGGTTAGGATCTAGGCATGGTCTAGGATTTTAGGGTTTCATGTTCTGTTTTCCCCCCATATCCCATCGTAGTCCTGAAAACCTTCCCAACTTAGCCCTAAGTCCCAAGTTTCGTACAGGACGCTCTAAATCCTCCCTAGATCCTTGATCCCAAACTCTGAACCCAAGCGCTGAATCCTAAACCCTGAGCACAAAATCCTAGACCTTGAGCTCTAGACCCTATATACGTAAATCCTCAAGCCCAAAAGCCGAAAAACCCGCATCCTAAGCCCTCAAGCCTAACCCTAAGATACTACTCACCTCTCCCTGATATGAAACATTCGCCCCCTTATATAATATCAAGTGTGAAGACCCTCGTATTTGTAGGGGCACGGTAGAGTTGAATTTTCGCAGGAGGGGATTACAATAAGCCAGAGTAAGGACACCGCTTGCCCAGGTAAAGGGCCAAAGTCGGACCGCTTGGGCGGATAGCCGAGACGTCTCGAAGAAGTCGGCAAAGTCCCAGCGCCTGGGAATAAAGGGTCTGCAGAGCTCCTAAACCCTGAACTACAGGGTTGAGGGGTTTAGGGTTTAGGGCCTAAACCCTAGGGTTTAGGGGTCAGGGGTTTAGGGTTTAGGGCCCTAACCCTGAAACCTATGAAGCCTATAAGCCCTAAACCCTACATTTCCCAAATTAGGGGGGTTTAGGTTCAGGATTAAAGGGATGGGGGATACCCTTCAGTCTGACGAAGCCTTTGAGAATCCAAATGCAAAAAGGGGTCAAAGGGAAAGGAGTTAAGGGTTTAAGGGGCTGGGGGGGGGTGTATAGGGGTTATGTGGGGATAATGGAAATGAAAATGGAAACTACTATACTGGGTTATATAGGGTTGGAAACTTTTATACTGTGTTATATAGGGTTTACGGATTTTAAATCTTGCGGGGTTAGTGTGTTTGGTCTTCAGGGCTTGAGGCTTGGGAGTTGGGATCTTGGGCTTGGGATTTTGGAGTTTGGGATTTGGGGCTCAGTGATTTTAGGAACGCTTCAGAATTTTGAGGCGCAGGACTTTGATTTGAGAAGGTCATGAGATGGGAGAGGGATTTGTGGGCTGAGCGGTGCAGGGGTGTAAACGGCTGTGGCCCAAATTGCGGCGCACTCGTCTTGGGGTTGCCTTCACGCTGTCTATCGGCCGCATAATTAGATAACAATCAGCATTCGGCCCCCTGTAAGCACCAGAAAGCCTGTTGAACTTCATGTTGGCTCGGCTCCTTCTGGTCAGCATTCTATGGCTCTTCGAGGGGCTCCTCAGGTGTGGGTTCCTTGATAGCTTGCCTCGCGCGTTTTAAGCAGAGTTGTAGATTTGAATTTCTCAGAGGATTTGACATTAAGGAAGTTGAAAGATCGTACGAATAGAGAGAGCTACTCGTACATGATTAAAAACAGGGGGGAGTGAAGAACATGTCAGCAAGTGCCATTGTTGCAGGCACTGCTCGGAAAGTAGATTAGTCCTTTGCGTTTTGTAAGACTGCAGGCCCTTCATTCAAGTAAGTCCACTAGTGGCAAGCCCTGGATCAGGAATCAGTACGTACTGGAGGTTCATTATAATCATAACCCAACTATAACTGCGCTTATCTCCCTATTTTACGTCATTGTCACGAAGTCTCCTAATAATGTGGTCTAGTAGGGTCATCATAACCTTTTCTCTTTGTTCTATAGTTACCCTGAAGCTCCACGTGTTCTCCCGCACTTTGCGTGAGCTTGACCCCACATAGCCCAGGGCCGTAAGCAGCAAGACTGCGACAAGTGGCAAGGACTGGATGGTTTCTCAAAACAGGGTATCTTCAGGGACCAGGGCATGTATACAGTCTACCGTCAGCCCCCCGAAGTCCTTTATTCCTCTTAAGTATATAAAATGCGGAATTCCCCACTATTATTAGAAGAGCCTCCGATACCGCATACTTAGAGGGGGCTATACCTGCAGGACAGCCGATCGCTGTGGTCTCTGGATTCAAGGATGCCGCCTTATCCCAGCGGCAAGAGGAAGTATATGTCCTCGGTGGATGCCTGCCTAAAATTCTCGGTGTAGTCACATTCCTTGGCTGTTGCGACCGTGAGCAGGTTAGGGTTGCACACTTCGGTCCGCACCCTGGAACCAGAAACTAGACGTAAGATCTTTTTTCCAGCAAAGGCTGTTAATCCTGAGAATTGTCCATATCGTTTTCAAGCTGAAGAGCAGAACTTGGAGAGTCGGGGCAATATTAGAACCCAGTTGTTAGTGAAAAAGTCAACGATAAGCCCCTAAGCCCCCCAATAGGGTTATACTTAGGTTATACGTATACCAGTTGTTGTCGAGTTCAAGTTACCCTGAACCCCCCAACCAAACAAACCTCCTCCTGTTGACCCTGATGTGCTTTCTTGGATGAATGAGCCCTGATCTGACTGGGCCTAGGATTTAGGGTTCAGGGTTTGGATTTATGGATTGGGGTTTAGGTTTTGGAGTTAAGGTTTGGATTTATGGATTGGGGTTTAGGTTTTGGAGTTAGGGTTTGGGGTTTAGGATTTTGGGTTTAGGGTTTGGGTTCGGAGTTTAGGGTTTAGCTTTGGAACGAGACATCCATCATGACTCTACCGCAGATAGGGGCCAGCCTAATTCTTGCATGGCTTTGGTTTCCATGTGTGACAGCCTGAAGTGTTTGGCTCCGAAGACGTGCTGGAATCAGGCTGCGCTACTACCTGGCTAGCTGAAAGTCCCAAGTAGCTGCGACTGATGATTCTTGCAGGGTATATGTATAGTATGCTTGCCTGCAGGCTCATGAGCCCTATAAGCCCTAAACCCTTAATCGCGTGGATTTGAGCCATGTTGAGCTATCTGCACGACGCGGCGTGGACGTTGTTCTTGTCTTTTCGCCTGGGGTCCCTGGAGAGTATCTGGGGCAGCTTAGAGAATGTTTTCTCTTGTTGTGAGGGTTTAGGGTTGCAAACCGTGCTTTCTCCCAACTAAAGTAGGACCTAAGCCGTAACCCCAGACCTAGGAAATCAACTTGAACCGTTCAACTTGAACCCTAAACATTAGGCTAAACAAGTATATATATAATCATCCCACATCCTAGATCCTGAGCCTAAAGCCCTGCACCCTTGAGCCTGTGTCCTCTTGAAACCCTAAACCCTGGAACCCCTAAATCCTTAAACCCTAAACCCTAAACCCTGGAACCCCTAAAACCCTAAAGCCCTAAAACCCTAAACCCTACCTTCAAACCCTAAACCCTAAAACCCTAAACCAGCCGGGCTCGGGCCAGGTGACGGGACGCGTGGTGAGGTCCTGCTGCATGTGACAGATCCTGACGACGCCTGGCCTGAAACTGATAGCAATAAGTCCCTTTAGGGGGGGGATTATGTAGGGTTTGGGGTTTCCGGTTTAGGCATAATTATGTAGGGGTAGGTTGGGGAAGTTGGGGTGTATAGGGTTTAGGATGCAACGCTGCAGTGGACAACCAACTGGTAAAGAAAGTGGGAAGTGAGATTTTATAGGGGTTGTATATGGAGCAATGTAGTACTAAGGGCCCCTGTGTGAGTTCGCCAGTAAGCAACCCTAAACCCTAAAACCCACCACCAGTAAGCCCTTTTTCACTGCTTGGAGTCCTAAGTTCTCGAAAAACCTTAGACCCTTAACTGCAGATCCTAGCCTTAAAAGGCTTCCAGGGATCATATAGGGTATATCCCCAAGGGTCCATGTACCGAATAATCAGGTACTTGGGATTTGGGTAATAGTAATTATCGTACAGTTTCAGGTAAGGATATGATTATTAGCTTCTTGGACCCTTAGGGTATATGGTGCAGATAGGGTTCAGGTTAGAAGCGAGAATTTGTGGCCTGCACGGAACCTAACTCAGAGTTGCTGGCCAGATTGGTTATATTGGGATACTGGAAAAGAAAATGGAAACTACTATTTAGGGTTCAGGGTTCAGTGCGAACCGCCGCATTGCATGCTCATCACATAAAGATGCATCATTCTTACAGAGGGATGAAACTTTTTCTGGCCCTGACCTTTGAATTTTGAATGAGCTCATTGTTGCTAGAATTCTATCGCGAACAAATGCTCTGGCTTTGTGTCGAGAACACGAAAGGAGAAAGGAGAGTGGAAATCTGATCTGCTGGCGCGGGACGAGCTTCCTCCAAAGAAGCCTGGAACTGTGCGATTGGTGCTGGTATCCGACACGCACGAAAGGCAAGGTCCTGATAATGAGTAGTAGCTCATCTTTGTACCTTACAAGAGGCAAGAGATGTGCTGCTTGACAGAGTACTGCTCCAAGAAGGTGGGACGTCACACTTGCTCACGTGGGGTTGGAAGTTCGTGACTAGTGCCACGTTTAGTTTCCTGGAGGATGTTTTGCTCAACTTTTGGGACACTAGGCTTCAAGCAGCAATGATTCCCTAACCCATCAAAACTCTAAACCCTAAACCACCCTAAACCCTATACCCTAAACACAACACTTAAACCGTATATCAGGCACCCGGCTTGCCGGTTTAAAGGAGATGACTGAAGCCCAACCCCACGGTTCAGGGTTTAGGGGTTTTCGGGGTTTAGGCTTTAGGGTGTATAGGTTTCAGGGTTTAGGGTTTTAGGGTTAGTTTAGGGTTTTTAGGGTTTAAGGTTGTAGGGTTCAGGGTTTTCAGCTTGCGACTTGCTGTTGGGCTTTCGATGTAGGGTTTAGGCCTAATCCGCAGCTCATAGTTGATACAGTGTTAAAAGCCTGCGTGAGTAGGGCAAGTTTGCCGTCAGAATTACCGCTTGCTCTTAGTATTATGTGTTGTTCAGGCTGTCAACTTGAAATATTGTACACCTAAACCCTACCTAGACCTGTGATGTCTCACCTTTTTGGGATGTACCCCATGAATACGTAAGACAGAAACCAAAAAAGGCAGGACCTCCAGGGTCCCAGTGGAGCGTGCACCCTAAACCCCAAACCGCACTCTGACGATTACAGGCATGCGGGGATTCGCCTACCTGCTTGCGATGCTGTGCTACATAGCGGAGATATCCTTGCCAGCAGCCGATGGGCACCACAAGTGCACGCCGAGGATGTCCTGAAAGACTTTGGGGAGCCTCAGATGGGGTGTTTTTGGGTTTGTTTAGGATGTAGGTCTGCTATGGATGACCGAGACTAAATGGTGTTTAGTGGTTTGGGGTGCTTGTAGAATAGAATCTTTCCGATTGCACTGAGCTTTCCGCCATGAAGGGTATGACGATCTTCTCAGCTTGGCAGCATCTTCAGGAGGCATGGAAGTAGCCCACTGCTACATAAGAAGCTATCATAAAGGCCTTTGTCTGAACTCTAAGCCTAAAGCCCAACGGTACAACTGTACTGCTCAGGATTGGCTGCGAGCTACAAAGTGTTCGTCGCGGTCTCCGGATTCAAGTGATGGCCGTGTTGCTTTAGAAGTCTTTGTCATGGGGTCTATCTAGCTTTTGGGGTGCATACATGGATCTTCTGTACTGTCCGTAGGTTTTTTACCTTATAATTATAGTATAACTCTAAGGAAATATCAAAAATATCTTTTATTATAGGCCTAAGGAAACTACAGTCTTAACGGGTTGTTCTTGGCGGTTGGTTTGTGTTGGTGTTGGGTCTGGTTTTTTGAGTGTGCGGCCGCCACGATGATGATACCATCAGAGCCTGTGAGCACACTGCATGATGAACACCCCGTATTCTTGGAGATTATGAGTGCCTTTCTGGGTGTCCTACTTTTATATTGTTTCGCCAGGGGCACGAAGAGTGTGTTTCCGTTTTGGATAATGATGCTGCCGCTTGTGTCGCAGGTGCTCGAGATGAATTTGCACCATGGTTTTCATCCACCGGGGTGCAGGAATTGCTACTGCCACTGTAGCTGCTGCACTCATGCTGATACTGTTACTGCTGCTCCTGCTGCTGCTACAGCTCTTATACTGCTGCTGCTTCTAGCACCACCGGCGCCCAATCCACCTCCCCCGCCACTGCCACCGCCACCGCCTCTAGTATTACCTTCAGCTACTACAATGACCAATGTAGCTACGAAGGTTCGTCATTGCAGGGAATCACGACTACTGGATCGAGCACTTGGGGCACGAAGCGGTGCAAGAGCTTTTGGGAGACTCTTGGAGACCAATTCGGGTTATAGGCTTAGGGTTCAAGAGTTTGAGCCAAGGGCCCTCTTAAGGGTAGCTTGGCCCATATCATGCATGTCCATACTGCTTATGGGATCCACCAGTCTTGTGCAAGAACTGCATAATGGTAGCCGCATTTTAGCCGCCGATGTGAACTTGTCTCTGTTTTTCGGTTTTGAGACAATCACAAAGCGATTCTACAGGAGCTGTCTGACGTGATATGATAGATAGCAGGCTTAGGATATCGGGTTTAGGGTTTTGGGGCCAGGGTCCCAACTTGCAGGTGACAATACAGAGAACAGGATTTCCTCCCTAAACCCTAAAACCCTAAACCCTAAACCCTAAAACCCTCATTCATCTCATACTTCCTTCAGCCCTTAAAAGAGCCTGGAGCTCCTTGGAGCCCTAATCCCCATGGAATACTATAGGAGCCATAGTCTAAACTCCTTCAAGGGGGGTTCTATAGGGGATTATATAGGGAGATATGATGGGGATTATTAAGGGGATGCTAGGGGTCTAAACTATAGCTCATATGAGCCATAATCTCAGCTCCTTAAAGGTCTTATATAGGGGGTTATATTGTTCGTATCAGAACCCTAAACCTCCGAAGCGTGCCACACTTGAAAGGATGGTGTGCAGTATCTCGAGTTTTCCTCTGGCTCTTTTCGCGCGCGCCTGGATCCATCTTCAAGCAGTGAGGCGAGCTCATGTTGCTGCTCGTGACGTCTAGTGTGCTAGCGCAACGCCCTGGACCCAAAAGTACATAGGACAACGGTCTTCTAGACTGACTTCAAAGATTTTGGGGTCACTTCTTGACCCACTTTTTGGGTTCGAGTGAGGCTTTATGGCTGTTGGTCTAGCTTTACACCCCGGGCCCCACAGGATCCTTGCCAGTACTCCACGGTCCCTCTTACATACCTCGCCCCCCCCAAGTCACAAACCTTAAGCCCTAAATCCTAAACTTTGGTTGAGGGTTTAGAGCGACCCTAAACTATTCCGCCTAAAAATTCCGAATTCTTTGCAGGTTGAGGTCTCCGTGTTTGGGGCACCCGTGTCCGCCGGAAAGAGCCCAAACCGGGCCTTCCAGCACACAGATGCCGTGGAGCAGCTAAAGTCAACCTCGCCGGCAGCTTGACAGCTAGACGATGAGTTTAAGATTTACCTAGAAAGACAGTTACCCATATTCATAGGCAACTTTCCTCTAATTTACTATTACTTTGGGCTAAAGTAGCCCATTATTATGGGTAACTAGGCTTTCTAGGTAGGGTCTATCATGTTAGGATCGGGTCAAACCCCCCACCCAGTATTGGGTACTAAAAAGGAGTGCTGTAGATGTATTAAGCTTCTATGAACTCCTTGTTACTGTAGATAGGATTGACCTAGCATTTGGAGCAGTAGGCTTAGAGTGTGGGATTCGGTGTGCAGAGTCCAGGTTTCAGAGTGCAAGTAGAGTATTAGAGCTCATATGGTAGTTTGCATAGATAGGGGGAACCCCCAAATAGACCCCAATATGTTATAAGTTAAAATCCTCCTCATGCGGACCCCCGAAAAAGGTACCCCTAACTTTGGGGAAGCCCCAATATTTGATTAAGGGTTTAGGGTTGCGGGTTCACATTATGGTTCAGGTTTCAGGGATCTCGGGTTGCAAGGATTTAGCTTATGAGGCGGCAGACGGGTGTAACGAGGGGCTTTGGGTTTGGGGGTGACAGAAACTCGCTTTGGAGATACACCTCGTTCCGGATGTAGAACCCTAAACCCTTACTGCGTTTTGATGGAGTGCTACAAGGCTATGGTTGCTTGACCGCGTCGCTTGGCAACTCTCACATTATAGTCGGGAGCCTTTTTCATGCCCCTCAACCCCTGAACCCAAACCCGTAAACCAAGGGTTTAGGGTATAGGGTCGATTAATATATCCCCTCCCTTTAAGTGGCCATAAAGCAATGTGCATCTTGCAAAAGATTTCCGTACGAACTCCCCAAGAGGAGTTCATACTGGTGAGTACTGGTCCGGCCCCCTGAATGCACAGTCAACCCGAAACATAAACCTGAGAAGAACTCTTAAGGTTGAAACCATGGGCCCTTAACCTTGGAATTCGTTTATACCTACCATTTACCTCATATGTGGCCTTAAGGGTCCCTAGAATCCCCCGAAAGGGCCCTTTTAGGGCCTTAACTCCTAACTTTAGAAGAACAACAGGACAAGTCCGACATCCTCATGACGCATGGGCCGTTGCTGTCTGGGTCCAAGATGCGGGTTCTAACATTCAGCAACTTCTGTTTTGTTGTGTTTAGACATTGTCGCAGCTCGTCTGTGGCATGGGGCGAGCTGGACCCCACACCCGGCAATAGTGACCATAAGGGATAGTAACAATTCTATTAGGGTCCTCTTCTTCTCCTATTGTACCACTATTACAGCGTGGGGGGTCCTCCTAAGGGATAGCGAGATGAGAGCGAGCTAACGGGTCCAAGACAAGTCATCACCAATCTAGGTCTAAACGGTTTCTCGGCTGTCCGACTCAAAAACCCTGTCTCGGGAAAACATAGTTTGACGAGTGGCTAGCTGTGCCGAGTTGTCAATCCCCAAACAAGGACTATCTAGATGATGTATAATCATCGTAGAATATCCTTTGCCACAGCTTAATAATCCGTAGGGCCTGCATCACGCACGAATGAACCAGGAAAGGGCTACGAGAAATTGGCGCAGTGCTGCAACGGATGCAGCCGCTACTTTGTCTTGCATGGAAAGATGGGGGGGTTTAGGGTTTAGGGAGTTGAGGGACGAATCTTTGGGTTTGAAGGTTTTGGGATGAGGGTTCCTGTCTGCACAGGGGAACTTGCACGTGAACGTAGAGTCAGTAAAGCGGAGGGTTTTCAGAGACAGTCCGTTTGAGGGTGTTTAGTGGAGTCTTTTCATGTCTGCGCATCATTAGTTATTCATGTTCGCTGGGGGCGCGAGAAGTTCCTGAAGCGGCTTTGGGCGGGGGACCGATTCGGGAGGTTGTCCTGCAACATGAAACTGAATGGTTGCCTTCAATGTTAGCCACGCCCTTGCTGGGAAGCGATAAAGTAGGGAGTCGAGGAATGTGTGTGAAGGAAATAGTCCCCCCTCAGTAGATGAACATGAGGTTTCTGGCGATCTTACGATAGTTTACCCAAAGCCATATTCTATCTACTTAGAGGGGGCTATAGCGGCTTCCCAAAATTATTGGTCTCTTGGGGTTTGTCTATACATTGGGCGGGAGTACATAGGTATTGAGCTCACACTGCCTGCCCCCAACCCTAGACCCATAGTTGGCTTAGTGTTTAGGGCTGTGGTTAAAAAAGCCCATTGGCCCCATTGGGTTTTGCACACATCCCTGTAGGTCATTGCATGTCTGCGGCCACGTTCACTGGCGCTGGGGGACCATCGTGCCCATGTCAGATTATGCTGCTGGGTCACAGCTGGAAATCATTTGCTGTCCTAAACCAATGTCATGTTAAGCCATGTGTATTCCATTCTGCTAGAAGTTTCTCTTGTCAAATCACAAACCAGCATATTGCATTTATGGCACCACGCATGACGGAGGTCAGCGCCCCTGGCGTTTCCATCAATGCCTCCATCATGCGCAGCGTGGGAAAGAGTCCCGGCTGAATGTCAGGCTTAGTGTCTACTGCATGCTTAGCCCGAGACCGTAAACACCTGGAGGAATTGGTATTCGTTGCGGGTTAGTCATGGCATGACGGGGCTACCCGCACATCGCATTAAGACCACCTTGACATGACCTCCACATGCTTGCGCACATACGTGACTGAGAGTGTGGTCTGCTCAACCAGTGTTGTCCCTTGAGCAACACATCGAAGACAATTGAGCTATAGTCCAAACTCCTTAACGGTTATACAGAGGATTTCATAGTGGAGTATGATAGGGGTTACTAAGTGGGATACTAGGAGTTTAGACTATAGCTCAAATCGACAAAGGCAGGCCCGAGAAGTTTTTTCCTTACCGGATGCCAAGACCCAGGTCCGCGTTTCCTATAGAATTTCGTTGGCCCCATTACTTTGAGCACAGGTCGTCATAAGACAGTCGCGTCAGGAGAACAGGAGCTAGGCCATGTGGATTTAGATGGATGATGAGGCTATGTTGGTTTCTGTCAGCATGCGGTCCTTCCTTCCGAATTCTGCTTGCTAAGCTGATGAAGCCAAAGCATAGACCTCATGGTGAATCCACATGCAACGCCAAGGATACAGGGCCAGCGTCCTCTCAATGCGCCCATCGTGTGCGACCTCCCCCTACATGGCAAGCTTCCGGTCGCACCGGCCAACGACACGTGCAGCTAGGTCGTAGACTTGGAAAGAGCCTTGGACCTAGGAAGGCAAATGCCAAACACATTAGCAGCGGCTGCAATTGCTACATGAGCCATCATCTAAACTCCTTAAAAGGGGTTATATAGGGGATTATATGGGGGACTACTACAGGGGTTGTTAAGGGGTATACTAGGAGTTCAGACTATAGCTCACATGAAAAACGCACCAGGCAACCGCCCACAGAATCTTGGTAAAGTCTTTGTAATATTAACCTCCCCCATGGAAATTCGATGTTCCCATAACGGTATCCTACCATTTGAGAATAATTGAAAATTCACAGGGGTATTACTTGTAGGGTCAGGGGGACTTAAGTAGGTTAATCACAGCGATAACCGAGTTATCATAGGGGTTACATGTCTCGTAAGTATACTTACTAAGGTAAGGGGAGCGGATCCTAATGGATTATTATTCTTTGTGGTTGGTTCAAGTCCCCGAATCAGTGCGCCACAGGAGCAGAGCCCTGTAGACAAGGACAAGATAGGAGGAACCCCCACCTTGTGATACTGGTATAATAGGAATATTAGAGGACCCTACTATAACAACTATTATCACTTATAGTCACTAGGTGGGGGGGTCCACCTAAAGCCCTAAACCCTTAACCCTTAAACCCTAAACCATCCCAAGCCCTAAACCCTAAACCCAAAAACCTAAACCCTTAGATTATTCAGAAGCCCGGCCTTGGCTGTCACATTGTTCGCGGCCTTTGGCAGGGATATACGGCATTCGATGCCCTGCAGATTCCACCTAGCCAGAAATGGCAAATGACCACCCAAACTCAAACTCCGGTATCCCTAAAACATTTGCCCAGGAACACAAATGCAAAGCTTTGCCTACAAGGACCTCGACGTAGAGTTTACAGTGGATGAAGTTGGCTCTTGTAACCCATAACCTACTGCAAACTCTACCGCATGTAGCTTTGTGGGAAATAGGTGTCTCACGAAAAAATGTCATTTGAATGATGCTACGAGTGGTGTACACCCATGAATGAATATGCGTGCCTCATCAACGAAAAGTCACAGATCAAACGGACCAGAAAGCCGAGTGTGTCATCCAAGTTGGACGCTTGTTGTGACATTGTGAATGACTGAAACCCTAAACCCTAGAGTTGTCCCCTGGTACCTAGGTCCAGGGATCTTCACAGCAGGAGCCACCGACACTCCATGATTCTCAGTCGGTCCGCGGCCTAAGGCCAGGACCAGGCTTTACCTGGACCTTAGGGTTTAGGGTTTAGGGGTTTAGGTTTAGGGCTGGACCTTCCAAGTTTGCAGAAGAGTGGCTTTACTTTGTTGGTAGGCCATTCGAAGGCACTTGTGGATTATTTTCTTCCCCAGAATAATAATGGCTTTGATATGACCATTTTAAGGCACTTTTGGACCATTTTCTTCCCCAGAATAGAAGGGCTTTGTCTTGACCATTTTGAGGCACTTTTGGGTCCTTATCTTCCCCAGAATCATGGCTTTGTTTTGACCCGTTTAAGGCGCTTTTAATCACTATCTTCCCTGCTTTTTGAGGTCCTGGTAGGGTTGGGTCTGATGATGAATGGTGCGCGTAGCGCAGCGGGACCACACGCTTCCAAGAGCCTGTACAGCGGCCGCCGAAGCAGTGGAAGGCAAAAGAGCTTGCGGTTGGGGTATAGGGTTTAAGGGTTTAGGGTTGAGGGGTTTAGGGTCTAAGGGGTTCTCGTGGATGCAGTGGGGGACCCTGCACCCCGTAATAGTGACTATAGGCGATTGTAAGGATTACAGTAGAATCCTATTACAGTGTGAGGGGTCCTCCTAAGGGCTGCAATTTCGAGAGCGTTTAGGAGGCCTGAAATTATTGTAGCCGCTCCTTGGCTGTTGTTGTTTATGTTGCTTTCCCGCTGCTGTACCCTGCCATTTGAGTGTTGAGTTGGTAGTATGGCCAGCCGGGGTGAAGGGAGGCTTGTATGTGTGTAGGACCCTGGCGGTCAATGGATGTTTGTTGCGTTTACCTCACCGTTGCCTAGGAGAACGCAGGAAGGAATAAATGACCTATAGGACTATACGTTCCATTTAACTAACTTCCCTGGACGCAAATCTCACCTTCTTTATCTATGATCCTACTAGCCAGCTGAAATTATTGTTTCTACAAAGGATCCAGGAAATTTAGAGTGAACAGGTATATGTGGGAACCATGTGAGCTATAGTCCAGAGCCCTAGTATCCCCCTTAATGACCCCTATAGTAGTCCCCTATATAATCCCCTATATGTCCCCCCTTTGAGGAGTTTAGACTATAGCTCATGTAGGGACAGTTGGAGGGATCCAATGAACTTAACAGCCTCTCCTGGAAACCCCCATCAATACCAGGAAACCATAGGGTTCAGGGTTTAGAGTTTAGGGATTAGGGAATTAGGGAACAATATTGGGGTAATATTGGGATAATGGAAAAGAAAATGGAAGCTACTACATTTTTATTGGATATATATGGGTGGCAAAGTTTGTGGGGCGCTATGTTGTTGCAGTAGAGCGCCCTCTCAAATTTACAAGACCAAGTTCCATTGCTTCGTGTCAAGAAGCCCTAAACCCGCAAACCCTACGCCCCCTTCTTGACAGAGCTCCTGTTTTTTGACACAGAACGCCCAGACAAGCACTTGAGCTATAGTCTAAAACTCCTAGTATCCCCCTTAATAACCCCTATAGTAGTTCCCCATATACTCCCCCTTGAAGGAGTTTAGACTATAGCTCACTTAAGCCGCGATCATGGACAACTGTTGCATTGCTTCCTAACCGCCCTAAAAGTCGCCAGCGAATGATTTGTCAAAAGGTAGGTAAACCTTCAACCCTAAACCCTTATGCCCTAATCCCTTAACCCTATAAACCCATGACCCTCTTCTTAACCCCTAAACCCAATAATCTTGAGACCCTTTAAACCCTAAACCCTAACCCCATAATCTTGGGAAGCCTCCCATTTGAGTAGTATTTTATTTGAGGATACTAAGGTACCCAATATAGAATAAGATTCTATCCTCCTCTTGGGTATAGTATGTATGTGTATAGAAGGAATATTATCTTACTAGGTTCAACCACCCTAAGCCCAAAACCCTAAACCCTTAACCCTAAACCCTAAACCCTGGGTTTGGCCGCCAAGGACTTGTTTCAAGCACTTCAGGTCTGGGCCCGAGCAATGCGCTGCGCGAAAGGGTTTGGGGTTGAGGATTTAAAGGGGTCTAGGGTTTAGGGTTTAGGGTGTAGGGTTTAGGGTTTAGGATTTAAAGGGTTTAGGGTTTAGGGTTTGGGGTTGAGGATTTAAAGGGTCTAGGGTCTAGGATTTAACAGGGTTTGGGGTTGAGGGTTTAGGGGTTTAGGGGTTTAGGGTTTAGGATTTAAAAGGGTTTGGGGTTGAGGGTTTAGGGTTATGGGTTTAGGGCTTAGGATTAGGGGTGTAGGTCTTCACGCAAAGGGTCCAAAGTACCTGTACAAAGTATGGTTTCTAGAGGAATTTCCCTTCTGGTTTGGGTAAGTATTCCCCATATGGGTACTTAGGACCCTTTGGGTCAGGTCTAAGGGCTTAAGGCTTTGGATTTTGGGAGCCTGAATAACCTACCATCGTGTCTAATAGTATAACGCCCCACCCTTTTATACCAAATCCCAACATCGTCCCATTAGAGGTTAGGGGCAAAAATTGTGCCTGGAAGTACCCCAATATAGTATCCTCAGATTATGGGCAAGGATTGTTATTAGGGAGGTGGTCGGCTCCTTAATAGATTGCAAGCCTAAATGCAGACTAACAGTATGTTTTCCATCTAGTTGTGGTGCAATATTCCCCGAAACTATATTTGACTTGCTTCGGCCCCTACACTTGCATTGCACAATGAGACTTTTAAGTCTTTCTTGCACTCCTTTCTGTACAGTTGTCGCTGCTACTCATAGACATTGTAAATAGCATAAAAAGTTGTTCTTATTGTCAACAAAATTGCTTACAGTAGAGTTTACAGTAGATAATCTCAAAGCCCCTAATTCCTCTTCTGGCTTATAAGAGCCAATATACTCTACTGTAAACTCTACTGTATTCTGTTCCCATGATATTGCTGTTGCTCTTGCTGCTGCTCGGCCGGGTTACGTGCTTTACCTAGACCCGGCTGGGACATCCAACAATTTTTGGAACATGCCCGGCAAACTACCCAAAGTTCCTAAACCCTAAAACCTAAGCCATATGAACCCTGAACCCCTGAAAATGTAGTCTAGGCCCCCAAAAAGGCAGGACATACAGGTTCCAGGGTTTAGTGCCAAATGAGCTATAGTCTAAACTCCTTAAAGGGGGTTATATAGAGGATCATATAGGGGACTACTGTAGGGGTTATCAAGGGGAATACTAGCAGTTTAGTTTAGACTAGACTATAGCTCAAATCGAGATGAAGGCAACAGATGGGGCCGGCTTTGCAGAGAGGAGTCTACACTGCATTTGGCTGTGCTTGCATGTCGTATGTCGTGCGCCAGAGGTGTTATAGATTCCCCCTTAAGTAAATAGAATACGGGGTATATGGGGATCTCATTATAATATACCCAAATCCATATTCTATCTACTTAATTAAGAGGGATTATAGATTCATGGTTTATATTTATTTTGATATTTCTGGGTTGCATCGAAGTTGTGTCAGACAATCGGACATTGCGCTTTTGGAATGCAGGTACTCCATCAATGCGTGCGAACACTTGCACCATCTGCATACTCAGCAAACGATATTACTTCGGCCCCCCTATGCCTCACTTTTCATGACCCTGGCGTAGGCATATTGCGGACCCTTGCTTTCGAAAAGCAGGTCAAGCACTAAACAGCTGCGGGACATAGGTCAAGCACTGCCTGGGCCAAATAGGAGGCAATGTGGTACCATGTGCGGTTTAGGGTTCAGGGCAATGTGGTACCATGTGCAGCAGAAGGGCAGCTGGTCACGCGCTCATGAATCCATCCATGTTGTCATGCTCATGCGGTGGGTTTGTCAATAGACCTGGCT